AAATCAAAATAGCATACTTTCGATCTCATCATGTAAATTTATAAAACACAAATCACGAAACAGCTCTGTCGAATCTAATGTAACCAAACAGCCAAGTCAGTGCAACACAGTCGGTAAACCAAGTTACCTTTGTGCTGTTCTTGACAAAAATTTGATATCTACTTTCCTAGCGACTAAGAATGTCCTGTTCGAAGAGGCTGAAAAGAAAGCAAATTATAAATTATAGAAGCCGGGGAAAAAGGTCATCCTTTTGAAGTTAACACTATACTTTTTTAATGTGAAACCTCATTTCAGGAATGAAGTTGCTTTGAAGTGATAAAGGTTTGTGCAAAATTGCCACTCCTATAGATTGCAAGGTTCACTACCCTGGTCCAATCATATGCGTGAGGAACTTTATTAATCATTTTCATTCAAGCTGTCAAAAATTTCTTGTGCCAGAGAAGATTAGTTAATTGACAAGCTAGAACTTAAATAATCCTAGAGCTTAGATCATGAACAGATCACACCTAATATGATTTAGATTTGAAAATTGTATGGTTAGCAATAGCACTTTGTTAATAGCTCATATTTAATGTTGCTTTTCACAAACAAAATCTAATTAGTAGTTTTTATGAATCTGGTGCTACATGGTGGTTAGCGTGCATATTACCTTCGATGCAGACTGAGTTAGAGCAGCAATCTTTAAACATTATAATGACCCAATTGTTTTGCAGTGTTTTCTTGCTTGATATTTGTTTTCTTGTACGTACAGATTAACCTTGAGTTCAATGATGACATGAGCTTGAAGAAGCTTCTGAAAGCCAAAAGGAAGGAGAACAAAAAGGTTGGTATTGCTGCTGGACACAGATGGCAGGCATTTGAGGTAGAGATGGAAAGACTTTATAGGGCCAAAGTCAGGCTAGATAATATGAAGCATACGTTATTAAAACTTAAGAATCAGAAAGCCAGGAACTTGAATAAATCTCAGTTACTTGAAGAGTCTGTGATTTATGTTCCTGTAGCAGAGTTGAAAGAAAAAGCTTGATGCTACTAAATGTAATTACCTTTTTGTCAACAGTTTTTGTGTATGATAGTTTCATGCTTTACAAACTTTGTTTCAGCTGAACCTCATCCAAATAACAGTGATAAAGTAGTCCTTCAGTTTAGTGGCTTTTTTTTTTTTTTGAAAATTTTTCATTCGGTTTTGTTTGTGGATTCATCATACATCCTTGAGCTTAGATGATAAAATTAGTTGTCATATAATGCAAACCTGGGATAGATAGACAATGGTGACTGAGAGG